CAAGTAGGGGAAGGAGGATAGGTAAAAATCCCCCTTTTTTAGGTATCGGTAAAAGTCTCGAGTTTTGTGTGATGCGTCGTTTTTTACAGAGATCTTGTCCGCTTATTAGTTTTTTTCGCAATCCTAAAATGCTTTGTGACTTGCGAATACGAGAAGAAAACTTTTTCGACTCATGCCACTACCCAATTTCTGCTTCATCTTCATGACCGCTGAGACACCCAGTGCAGCTACTTTTTCACCAAGCGATGAATCCGATGCAGCAACCCGCTTGAGGGCGTGATCAATTAAGAGGTTATCGGCTTTACGACGAATTTCACTTTGTTTGGAGGTAGCGTAAACCAGATCGTGCTGCTTACAGGCCTCGTCTAAGCGATTAATTCCGGTATCACCTCTCTCAATGCGTTGCTTTAAATTTGTTCCAGGTCCACAGAAATTATATCTCGGGATATGCAATTCAAGTGGTTCAAGTCGGTTTGTGACTGTTTCTCCTCGCACGGAATGCAGTCATTTTATATGCTTCTAGCAAGTAACGGTTCTCAGATATATAGTAGACTGTGCTAGAAGTATTGATATCAGTACAATTTATAGGCTATCAGAATGAAGATCGAACCATCAGTCGTACAAGTTCGTGTAACGAATTTTGATGGACTTGCACAGGAAGGTGCGCTTAGAAAACATGGTAACCTATTCAATGGTACGTCTAAACGCGCGTTAGTTGTAGTTCCAAGCGGATCTGGTAAAACTAATGTAATGATCAGTTTGTTAACACATCCTAATGGATTGAGATTTGAGAACGTTTATCTGTACTGCAAGTCGCTGTACCAACCCAAGTACAAATATTTACAAGAACTACTAACACCGCTTCGCGAAATATGGTATTATGAATACAGTGAAGATGCAAACATTGCGACACCAGAAAACATTAAACCAAACTCCGTAATAATTTTTGACGACGTTTCATCATGTAATCAGGATATAATAAGACAATATTTCAGTTTTGGACGACATCGTAATACAGACTGTTTCTATCTTTGTCAAACGTATACTGCCGCACCCAAACATAATTTAAGGGATAACATAAACCTACTCATACTATTTCCTCAAGACAATTTGAATCTGAAACATATCTATGATGATCATATCAGCCTAGACATGTCATTCAACGAATTTAAAAGCTTGTACAGTTTGTGTTGGCAAGAGCCACATAGCTTTGTAGTGGTTGATAAAGATTCTCCAAGACAGGGAGGCAGGTATAGAAAGTGTTTTAGCAGCAACAAAATTTGTAACAGTAATATATATATATATATATATATATAACTATACTCTGTGCAAATCTTAGGGTAGTACTTATATAACATCGAAGGTAGACAGATGGATCCAAAACTGGCCAAAGAACTAGTCAAAACCAGGAAAGCGGTTAAACAAAAGTATCTCACACTTAAATCAGATATTGCAGCAACGGAAAGGGAATTACAGCAACAGTTTAAGCCGATCTCAGAACCGCTGCAAAAACTCTTATCAAAAGTTGAAGCACCTAAACAAGAATTGCAGATCAAAGAAGAACAATCTACACCCCCATCAGTGACATCCACACCGAAGAAACGACAATCATTCAATAAACAATTATCAGAAAATGTATACCAACGATATTTACCACCTGTCAACTACAGCTTTCTCGAGGATACATATTCAAACCTTCCGGAGCCAAATCGCAGTCAAGATGTATCTACCGTTGAAGAATTTACTCCAAATGCTACGGTGTTGGAGGCAGAAAACCAGCAAATCAATGAAAGCGTGGCTCGAGTGGCGCAAGAATTCCACCAACTAATTGATACACCTGCATATTAAGAGTATCTTGAAGGTTTTCACCCAGTACCTCGAAAATATGTTGATAAGTCAATTCGTGGGAACGAGCCCGAGTTTGATCGTTATTATGGATTAACATATGATATTGTTTCTGACAAGTTTCAACTCGGTAAAAGTCCGGTTACGCTAGACGGAGCAAATATCGTGGTGGAAAATGTAACATATCCTGGCACACCTGGATTATATGAACTGCTTTTCAAAAAAGAACCAATTGGTTATAAGCAGAGTGATCTAGATCAGTATATGGATATTCTAAGTCGCACAAATGCATATCGCAGAAATTTTGAACCTAATACTCAAATACAGGGTAGTACGTCCTACAAATATCTAAATATAATTCGACCATACTTACATCAGCAGCAGGGCATACTCAGATCCGGCTCCTTTGAGAAACCTCCACCTCCTAAGAGTCAGTTACGATGAACACACTCATTCAAACATACAGGTCAAGGAATGCTCCACTTATCAAATAAACCAATCGACTACATCTATTTTGATGATCCAAATGAATTGGTTGCTCGTTTACGTCTGTTGTTAGCTTCACAGTATGCTGGTAATAATGGACATCGTAACGAGATTATGTCTATAATTGAGGAGTTACGTGAATAAAAAATAAAATGAGTTTGTAACGTAAAATTACTTTATTTACATTGCTGCAGTTGTAGGATCAAGATGCCGATTGATAAATTTGGAAGACATATGCTCCGCTCAAAGAAGACGGACACTGCTGCAATCTTCAGTACTTTTCTAAGATCCAACCTATCCAGCGTATGTGTGGTACCCATTTATTCCTCCACATCCAGCGAGCAGTTTTACACATTTAACGACAATAGCAAGGACTATATCGTTCCAGTGACTGGGATAGTTGATAGTATAAAAGTTCCGCCAAAAGTAAGAGTGACAATTGGTTTACCGACAACACACCTCTCACGAAAGGTGATATTCTCCATTTCTTCACATCTAAAGAACCCAGACCAGAGCAGCTTATAGCAAATATTGTAATGCGCTGTCCATTGATACAACAATGATCGACTTTAGAAAGCAGGTTGTTGAAGATCTTCATAAGCCAGCTCCCCGAAATTATAGACGTCGGCGCGTTATTGTGAAGGGGGTTAACGATCTCTTGCAGGCAGATTTGGTAGAAATGCTTCCGTATCAGAAAGTGAACAAAGGATTCCGATATATTTTAATTGTCATCAACGTTTTTAGTAAATTTGTGTGGGCAGAACCAGTCAAACGAAAAACCGGAAAAGATGTTACAACTGCAATGAGGGCGATTCTGTCGCACATGCAGTCAATTCCAAAAAATTTACAAACAGACTTGGGTAAAAAATTCTACAATAGTGATTTAAGTTGTTGGAAGAGTACAAAATTAATCATTACAGCACGTACTCATCGACCAAAGCAAGTGTGGTTGAAAGGGTGAATCGGACTTTAAAGAATCGCATGTGGAAGCAGTTCAGCCTTCAGGGATCATACAAATGGCTAGATATCCTATCGTCAGTCGTTGACGGGTATAATAACACCAAACATAGTACAATTGGAATCAAACCCAAAGACGTAAACAAACGTACAGAAAAAAGATTATTGAATACGGTTTACACATTTGAAAACGGTAGATCCAAAGGGTGTAAAATATCAAACTGGGGATCATGTCCGCATAAGCAAACATAGAACAGCATTTGCTAAAGGATACACTCCTAATTGGTCCAATGAAATTTTTACAATTCGTAAAGTACAGTATACCAATCCTACATCATACTTATTGGCAGATTGGCGTGGTGACGAGATACTAGGTGGATTTTATGCTGAAGAGCTTCAAAAAGTCAAGTATCCAAACATCGATCTTGTGGAGAAAGTGGTTCGACGTAAAGGCAGTAAAGTGCTAGTCAAGTACTTAGGACTGGATAGCAGCTATAATTCGTGGATTAACAAAAGTGACTTGTATGATAAATGTACCTCTATTTTGTCTAATGATTTCTATAGCACACTTTTTTTCAATAAAACACTCTACGTAATATAAGATTTTTATTACAAATATACTGAGAATAGTTAGGATAAGTAATTTGAATAAAAGTTCAGTGTTGGAGCCTTGTTGAATTCTTTCAAGTTTGGATATTGGTATGCCAGCTCCATAGCAGTCCTGATGTTCTCCGAATGCGGCAAATCAGAGATGTGTTGCATAATGAAGTCTCGCACATCGATGTGCTTGGTTTGTACATCCTGGAACTCCTGAGTTTTCAACATATTCATCGTATAGGCAATCAGCGGGGCTAATTGAAATAACTTCAATACGGTCTCTTTACCCAAATAAACTACATTACTCCACCGATCTGCAATTTTGATGGTTTGATAATCTGGAAATCTATCAAAGCTGATACAGAAGGAGTTACCTTGGATCGGATGGAAAATATCATCATTGAAGAAAAAATTGGTTATAATGCCTTCTTGACTCGATACTTCATACCAGTCTTCTTCATTTAACGTAACGCCCTCGGTTTTTAAACCCTTGATATTGAGTACAGGTTGGAAGCTCCACTGATATGCTCGCCCAATAGTAATCCATTTTGATTTAGATGGATTTAGATGATAGCGTTGCTCCTGGATGACAATTAACGGTGGCTGAGCTACACCACTTTGTACAGATCATACCCCTTTGTCGTTCTGCACATTTGCAACGTGTTTGACACCACCGGCACTACTCATGTTGTAACACTATGTGAAATGTAGAAGACTGGTATGTGATGCTGAGTAGCTACTTTTATACAGTGTCGATACTCCCTCCACTCACAAACACTCCCCTCTCAAAAATTGGCGCAGGTGCAATGGAAAATGATACTACCATTCATGGAGATACATTTATTTATGATATATTTCTGTCATACAACACAGCAAGAATTATTGCGTTTTGGATAAACCGCATAAGACACTCAAACATGCAACATAATCTTCAAATTTGGTGGATGGCCATTTCACACCACATGGTCCAGAACTCCATCCTAGTGACTTATCTCCAATGTTACCTTTAGCTACGTTTTTCTTTAACCATTTAAATACAGTATAATGTCTTATCTTATTTTCTATATCAAATACAAATTTAATATCATGCTGCTGTATCACATCGATTAGACTCTTCAGTGATGCACAATCAGCCAGATATGCAATTTTACATATGGTTTCATCGATATGGGATACAGTGTTTTTATTCTCTTAGTAATATTTTCTACAGGATGTGGTTTATCTACATCTTCATAGTTACTGTCAGATAACAACTTACAGAAATAGTATTGTTCATATGCTGATGGTGTGGAGTGCATGTTCGTCAGCAGGTCTCCAAATTCTTTGATGCTTAAAACCTCACAACCTGTATCCTTTAGACTTTGCAGCGTTTCCTGTACCACCCAGTCAAGATATTTCTTTCTTGTTATTACACTGGAAAGCACATCGGGGGTAGTAACTATCTGCATTTGCAATCCAGTTGAATACTTCGTCGGTACTATAATTTCCACCAGTACAAAACTCAGCACTGGAAATTCTCGTTTTTCTGGATTTTGAGACACAAACTGTCGGAGATGTTTTTTCAACACCTCTTCAGTTACATGACATAATTGCATGAACAGTGAATAGTATGTCTTGGTACTAATCTTTAAAACTGAAGAAGGTGAGTGGGTGAAGCATATATTTATATTCTTGTCCCCACCACAAAGCTCAAATTTCTGATCATTTCATCTGATCACTAGTCAACTCACTGGCTTCGTTCATTAAGCGCAGCAAGAGTTCCAACCGCTCTCCGTCCGACATTTTATGAAAGGTGATATCTTGATGACCCCAAGCTAATGTCTTTGTTGAGTTTGGTATCAAGAAACGTTTATCATCCATACTGGTCAATGTCACTTTTCTTATATAATTTGTGTATATATTGTGCGACTCCGATTTAAATACATAAATCGTACAGTACACATATGTCCGTTTCTCCTCAACAATATCTTTATAATGTAACAAATGTAATTGATGTTTCACACTCGCCTTAGATGTACCTTTAGCTCGTTTAGCCACTTGATCTACAGCATCGATACAGTATGCTGTGGGACCTGTACCATAAAAGGCAGACAGTACCTTGCCACCATATTCGTCTTTCATCTTACCCAACTCTGACGCTGTTCGAGGCATGTTATGTGGGTTGTCAGCATCATAATTGGATGTGTCAAAGTAATGCACGTGTGATTTCATGTCTTCATAGAAATTATCGGTTTCAACATGTACTATTAACGAATCAGTGTCCGTGTATGCTAAAGACACCTTATTACTATATTGGTGCTTCAGAAAGTTATAGAAAAAGTCATATATTACCGCTTTTGAGACATCTAAAATACAAAATCCAACATATGTGGGACGGCAATAATCAATCATTGTTTTTTCCATTTGAATAGCTACTAAGTTTTCAGAAAATATACTGTGTTCTTTAAAAGTTGGTTTACTAATATAATTTTCAGCACCTATTTTGTGTTTCGATTTTTCAAATTGAGTCGCTAATTTGATATTGACTCTGTTCTCTATGTTTTCAATCGTTTTGCCAAATATACAATTGATCATTGGTTTGGACAAATCTCTTTCAAACGGATTCAGTGCTGCATTTCTAAGTACCGTGTTTAACAGTATATAGGACTTTAACCACGCTGCTTGTGTGAATTTGATACCTCTATGAATTTTCGTTAAGATAATACCATGTTTCAAACATTGTTTTAGATTACGATAATGGATAATGTAGCGCTCTTTGTTGTGTAAATTTGGAATTAATTTTGAGCTTTGACTGTTGGGTGGTTTAAAATTTTCTGGACAAAATGGTAAATCATTGAAATAATCATGAAGCTCATTCGGTATTGTTAAATCAACTTCTAATGCATATCCAATATCCGATGTATCTGAAATTTGTGTAATGTTTCTTGAATCCTATCCATCTCATGTTGCGTCAACCAAGCAAAATGACCCGTCGGTGGGTACAGCTGCATAGTATATCCATATAAGTTCGGCACATCAAGGTACATTAAGTACGATGATGCCTTTGATGGATCGTAATGAGGTAAACATTTATTGTTCGCCTCGACTTTCCGTGAGGTACATGTGCTGACTCCTCCACGAATCCCCTTTTTAAAAAAATGTACCATATCCACATCTGTAAGCAGCTCTAACTCTACTTTAGTATATGGTAGCATTGCATCCCAACTCAACCCAGGAGCTGTAAAATAGTGAGCTGGATCCAGCTTGTACGTTTTTAAACACAAATCTCTAAAATTTTCAAAGATATCTGTTAAAAGAAGAACATCCGAAGTCAAGTGAAAGTCCGAGTATTCCCCCAAATTTTTACACCCCATTACTTCCCAAACATGATGTGCCCGCTCATAATCCTCGTCTGCAATGTGTTCATCACGTATTTCGTCATAAAAGTCTTGCTGGGATGGTAAACATGTTTTATTGTATTTATCAAATGTTTTAAGATATGTATAGGGAAATATACCTTTACATCTCATGTAGGAGAATCTTTCGTCCTCGGGAAACACTTTTCGTACTGTCCGACATTGCTCTGCACTTAAAAAGGATGCCAATGTTTCTAATTTTGACGACAGAAACTGATATGAATCGACAAATCTCATTTGCAAAAATACGGTTTTTTGTTTTCCCTCTTGGGAAATGTACGTGTCTACCGGTACTAATTTTGTAAATGACACATATCTTTCAAAAGATTGTGGAATCACTTTAATTTGTTCTTGATTCATAGCTAAGTGTTTTATGAATAGATGAGCATCATAGTTCTTCAGATTGTGGAAAAATATTGGAATATAGTTCGGAGTCTTATAATTGAGATTGCATTTACTATGCGCCGCACCACGATATTTCCCTGTGAAATGACAGCGATCCCTAACTTTTATATTTGTATTGGTGAATGGTTGTTCACAAATGAAACATGACTCTGCTTTATTAAACGAAGCTTTATCGTACGTAGTCATTTTCATTTCTACATTTTGTGTTAAATATTGATAATATATTAATTTAAGATCAGCCTCTAATCGAGCAACAAAAATTTTTGCTGCATCCTCACCCCTATATAGTGGCCAATTTGGATAGTGAATCATTAAATGAGCATTTGATGTAATAAGCAAATGAGGATGGTTTATGTTCATACTTTCTGATGGTACTTACATCCTCTGAATCGCTTGAGTCATTTTCTATCGGAGCTAGAATGCATTCAAAGTCGGTATAAACGCAAAATGGTAGCCTTAATTGTTTGTGATGCTGTTCACATTTTAGTATATTATCCATTACCGTGTTTCCAAGTCGATTAACTCTCGTTTCCAATTTTGGAACCTTAACTGAAATATATTTGCAATAGGTTCGCATGTGAATTTCTAATTTTTCTTTTGAGGCAAAGTATTGTAAAAACCCATCACAAAAGTGCTTTACTCTCGTATTCCGCGACAACTGACTTGAAACAAGTCTTGAAAAGTTGGTAATTAAGCAGTAATGATGGTTTCCTTCTGAATCATCAATAAGTAATAAGTTTAGATGAGTATGTTGTTTTTGCGCGGTGTAGTGTAACGGTCCCAGCACCTGATATTTAGGCTTCCCATCAATGAATTCCTTTTCTAATCCATAAACGTTGCTTGATATGTTATTCACGCTTTCACATTCTGATATTGACTTGAGAGCGACTGGAAATGTCATTCCAGCAAAGTTTAAGCCCGGAACATTCGAAAAATGTAGATATGACGTTGTTAGTGATGATCGACCTTTTGGTTTTACCATACCAGCTACAATTGACCATGCAAAGCAGTACTCATCGTTATTACGTATATTGAGTACTGCTTTTTTGTTCCTAATTTCCTTTGGAAGCGGCAAATATGATGCTGCTCTCAAAGGATATTTATTAATATTAATTTCTAAATATAAAGTCTTTTCTAACACCCACCCTGAGTCTTTTTCTGCAAAATCTTCAGATTTTTGCTCTATTTTACTTTCCAAATCATGATAGATTGCTTTTAAATTTGATGATTGTGTTATGATTACATTGTTTGTATTGTGGGACTTCACCTCTCGTCGGCTTTTAGCTGGTAAGATATATAAACCAAAAAGTTCCATATTTATTTTGAGCGTTGTTTGCTTATGCAATTCATTTTCAATCACGTTTATGGAGTCATGTTCAAGATTATTCATATATTCAGTAACGTTCAACGTGTCTATACTGGCGGTTATTTGATAACTGACTATTCTACCCCGAAATGCACTTCGACATACTGACACATTATTGTGTAAAGGTGTCCATAGATGTGCCTTATGTTTGATGCTTTTCAGATGTGCTGCATGTGCATTCCTCGGTACCTCACAGTTGCAACTATCACAGCGAATTGTTCTGCTTTCCGCACTCGTCTGTGAGTCGTTACTGGTGGTTGGACTCATTCGACTCGGTCCCGGTATTGCAACGTTGGCTGTTGAAGGATCCAGTCGTCTGGTATTGAGTCCTGTGGTGGTCTGGGTGATGCTAGCTGTAATAATAAGTTCATAAATATAAGTTATTTAATTTGGCTTAGTTGTTTGTAACTTTACCTTCTACACGTTGTTGTTCGGGTGGACTCTTCTCGCTTGTGCAGACCTCTCTACCATGTCGCAGTAAACCTTTTCGTGCCGAGAATTTTTGCCGGCATCGAGGACATTCCCACTTGTCTGCAGTGCTGCGTGGAGCGGTTGCATTACATGGACGCTTGGATGCGGGCTCCTCATCCTGGCTGCACCTCGCTCTACAGTGTCTCAACAAACTTTTCCTCACCGCGAAGGTCCTTTGGCATTTTGGACATTGGAACATTTTGTTGTGAGGCGTGCACGTATCTACTGTGTTTCTCACACATAAATCATTTATATATATAATTATATTTATGCACCTCGCGTTCTCTAGTGGCATCTGACACAAAAAAACATTAGCTGCTGTACATTGATTTGACCTATTTGCAGGTTTCGTTTTTTTTGTCCCATTTCTACATATCAAGTTCGCCAACTCTTCGATCCACGTGTCGCGATTGAGTTGTTGATTCACAACACTACGTTCTGTCGCGTCCCGTTCAAGTTGCGTGAACGGCAACTCTTCGATGTAGGTGTCACGATTGAGTTGCTCATTCACCACACAACGTTCTGTCGCGTCCCGTTCAAGTTGCGTGAACGGCAAGTCTTCGATGTAGGTGTCGCAATATCACTCGCAATCGCGGCAGACACAGATGGCTCTTGCTGTTTGAGGTAGCTCCCGACATGGATGGCCTTGGCTGAGCTTCCAACAAATTGATCTCAAACGATGGCCAAGCATTCATCGTTGTAGACATATCAATGTCCGGATTGATGGATGCTAACACTGCCTCAATATCGATCTCATTTGAGGAGTTCTGTTGACTTTGGGCGATGTAATTGTTAAGCATGGTTTGCGAGCCCATGCTAACAATTTCGATGGATAACTCATCATTCCCCGAAGTACTAGCCATCGTTTGCGGGTGCCCGTTCAGCGAAGAGTCAACGGTTTCGCGTGGTGGCACAACTTGAACACACACACAATATATCACAATCCATCCCCAACCAT